TAAAAAGCGAAGAATTTGCCAGGGTAACATTTTGTTTATCTTGCTATTTAATGTATATGCCGAATACATCACCAGAGTATACCTTCAGGAGAATTTAGAAGGTACCAGAATGAATTGAATCATTATTAATAATATAAGATATGGGGACGATATTGTGATACTAGCTGTGAATCAGAAGAACAACTAACAGCACTAATTAATATACTATATACTAATTAATATACTATAAACAAGTCATAAAAAAAAAGTTATGCATAAACATATAAATGCATGAAAAAAAGTAAACCAATACCCATTAAAACAATAATAATAATAAAAGTTTCCCACATTTGAATATGCTGCAATTATGTAAACTGATTACCTATATCGAATAAAAGTTTCACTAGTTCCAGAGAAAGATTATGAGTTCGAGATTAAAAATAAAAAAAGAAAATACGAAATCATAGTTTTTATTATTAAGATTAAACTGTTTGTATTCCAAAATTATTTATACGATATCAAATTAAATCAAAAAAATATTTAATATATTTTGCACAAATATACTTTCTACAAGATATTTATTTGTTTTATTACATATATCATATTTCCCTATAAATAGAATGTTTGAGCCAATATGAAGCAGCAAAGTGATGCAGTAATGGAGTTTGTTAACCATTACATAGTATTACTCATCAAGACTAGGAATAACTTTCGAAATTTTGCCCATCGGCACAGACAGGAAATGTATTCGGAGAGAAAGAGATGGATGAACACTGGAACTCGACTGCGTAATTTTTAAACGTCTACAGGTCTAGTTTACTTCTCCTACTAAGATCATTTTCATAATTTTTATTACAAAATTGTAGAATTTTCTAAGTCATTCCTAGTTTTGACTTGTACTCTTCGCCATTAGCGTTTATAACGAATCAAGGATATAGCACAATAAGCTTATCTCTGAAAAAAGTCTTATTTGAAATCTAAAAATTTACGCTTTCGCATAACCCTAACAGATCTAGAAGTATAAAATGTATACACTTCACTATCACTTCCAGTCATACCGGAAGTTGTCATCATTATATTTGTTATTTTAATACAACATCTTATATGATTCTGCATAAAATCTTGACGAAAGCACGAGGATATAAACAAAGAATGGGAAGCGTGTAAAAACATCATACAAGACGCGGACAAAGAGACCCTGGGTCTACAAAAAAAGCTCCAATCAACTGAAGGACAGTGGTTCGATGAAGTGTCGTAACATAACAGAGAGGAAATATAATGCATATCAACGACTACAACAACGACATAGAACAAGAAAGGCAAAGGCGAAATATAGAATGCTAAGAGGAGAAGAGAAGAAAATACATCGTAGAAAGAAAAGAGAACACATAGAAAAAGGATTCCAAGAAATGGAAGAACTAAATAAACCACCAGAAAATTCTACCAAAATCTTAAGAAAAGTAGAAAAGAATTTAAACCAAGAACAATAATGTGCAGAGACAAAAAGCAGATATAGTAACTCAACAGAGTAAAATATTACAAAGGGACAGAATTCTTCAAAGAAAAGTTTGAAAAAAAAAAACGAAGATCCACCATATGATTGAATTATACTGGATCAAACAGATACCAGAGAAACAACCCCCCCTGTAGTAGCTGAAATGCTAGAAGCAGTTACCAGACTAAAAAACAACAAGTCACCTGGATTAGACAACATTAGCGCAGAATTAATAAAGAAAGGCGGAGACTCCCTATTGAGTTCCACACACGAACTAATAGTGAACATATGGAATAATAAACAACTGTCACAAGACTGAAATGCCGAAGTAATTATCCCACTACATAAAAAGGCAGATCAGCTTCAATGTAAAAACTACCGGACAATAACGCTACTAACTGTGACATATAAAATACTGTCAAATATTGTGTATGACCGATTGAGACCATATGCGGAACAAACAGTTGGGGGATATCAATGTGGTTTCTGTAGGCAGAAGTCCACAATAGATCAGATCTTCGTCTTGAGGCAAATATGGGAAAAGACTAGTGAATTTAATATAGATACACATCATCTTTTCATTGATTTTGAGAGTGCCTATGATAGCATCCATCGAGAATTTCTGATCCATGCACTGAAAGAGTTTAATATTCCAACTCAACTCATTGATATAGTAAAAGAAACACTTAAAGTAAACAGCAAAATTCGAATTCAAAACGCACTAACAGATACAATCCATGTGAGAACGGGCCTACGACAGGGAGATGTCCTATCCTGTATTCTAACCAACATCACATTAGAGAAAATAATTAGTGAGTCAAAAATCAACACCAGAGGAACAATAATAACAAAAAGTATACAAATATTGCCATTTGCAGATGATGTTGATAGCATAGCCAGAAGCGAAAGAGTTGCCTAAACATTAATGAAATAAAAACCAAATACATGAAGGCCAGCAAATCGACAGGCCAAAGAAACCTACAGAATCTGACAATAGGAGACTTATAACATCGAAAGCATGAAAATTTTTACATATCTAGGTTCACTAGTTACCGTAGATAACAATGTCAGTGAAGAAGTTAAGAGAAGAATACATGTCGCTAATAAAACATATAATGGACTAATCAAACATCTAAGATCTAAGAACATCACAAGAAAATGCAAATGCAAAATATACAAAACGGTGATAAAACCGGTCCTTGTATATGGATCAGAGACATGGACACTGTCGAAAAGAGATAAGAACCTATTAGGTATGTTTGAACGAAAAATCCTTAGACACATATATAAGGGGGTGAAAAAAATGACATATGGCGCAGAAGATATAATTTTGAACTATACACAGCATACAATGAACCCAAGGTCATAACATCCATAAAGATCGGACGTCTGTGCTGGATGGGCCATGTTGAACGGATGTCGGAGACTGAAACAGGAGGCAAACACCAGTAGGAGGAAGGTCAAAGGGAAGACCCAAACTTAGATACATGGAACAAGTGGAACAAGATCTGAAAACACTTAAGATTACCAACTGGAAAAACAAAGCAAGGAACAGAACAGAATGGCGGAAAATCCTAGAACAAGCCAGGACACAGAAAGTGTTGTCGAGCTACTGATTATGATGAAGATAAAATCTTGACAGAGTTGTGTTATTAAAGATTAACTCAATTCCCTCTATTAAAAATCACATTTAGGTCTACGCACCGACATCCGAATCTACTGAAAAAGAAAGAGAAAATTTTTATCACACTCTCTTAAACTGACAAAAAAAACATGAACTAACTATTAAGGAGATTTTAACGCCAGAATGGGACAAGCTACAGTCGAGAATGTTTTGGGGACATTATGGTCTTGGCACAAGAAACAGAAGAGAAGACACTGATCCAATTCTACCAAAAGACATTTTTTAAATTTTTCAATTTTTTTTTAATTAAATCCAGGAAGGCTTTATACATGAAAAGCTCCCGGTAATACTCCTTGTAAAATCATAAGAAACGAAATTGATTTTATAAGCCTAAACAAAAGGTTTCGAGATTCTATCACCTCAGCAATAACATATTCAGGATCAGATGTCTTCTCGGATCATAGTTAGTAACTATAAACATCAAAAATAGTTCTTAAGAAAATGAGGCCCAAAGGAGATATAAAACTACTGAAAGAAAAAAACATCCAGAAAAAGTAAAAACAGAGCTTAATAAAAAATTTGAGAAAATAGTTGAAAATACTACTATCGGCATACAACAGACAAATGAAGTGAAGACATATATTGCCATATTTTCGCATGAAAAACTTAAATTGAAAAAATAAAAGAAACGAAAATGGATGCCAACTAAAATATTGCAGATGATGGAAGAGCGAAGAAAATTAAAAGGTAAAAATGTAAATGAATATAAAAATTTGTATGAGTATATATTATACGACTTCCATATGCACAAAAAGATTTAAAACTACCAGAACACCAAAAAACAACGCAAATAAGACTGGTCACTTACCAAAAGACTTTTCAGTTTAATGAGCTGTAGCAACTAGTAAAGAAGATCCACCGAAGAAAGTAGTATGAAAAGTTGAAGAAACCACCGGAGGAGATGCGTGCGGCAGATTAGGAGTACGGATGGAAGAGTGTTAAGATCAGATGTTGAAATAAAGTGAAGATAGTATAAGTACGTTAGAAAGTTGCTAAGTGAAGAACGTCAGAAGAGACAGGATGCGGGACCCCAAATGAGAATTTTATACGTGGAATAACGACAGATGATGTTGTCCAGGATTTAAATAGGATGTAGAATAAGGCAGAAAGGATGCTCAATGCAAGGAGGGAAAGCATGATGGTATCACTGTATAAAGATAAAAGGGATATTCAGGACTGTAAGCATTAAAGAGGATTAAGGTTATTGTTGCACACAATGAAAATTTATAAAGAGCTTTGGAAGAGAACTATAGAGCGAAGGTTAAGTAGGCAGACATCGATAGAAGAACGGTTTGGGTTTATGAGAAGAGGTACGACAGAGTTCTTAGACAAGAACTATGGATGTGAATGAGAGAAAAATGGGTTCCTGAGAAGTATGTAAGGCTGGTGAAGGATATGTATGAGGGAGCCTACAACAAAGTAAGGACTGCTGTCGGATTCACTGAAAGTTTTTCAGTGACGGTTGGTTTGCATTGAGTCCTTAGCTGTTTAATTTTGGTATGGATGTACTGACATAGAAGGTAAGAGGAGGAGCTAGTAGGAGTATTTTATTGGAGGAGAAGTTGGAGGTTGGGATAGACTTAAGGTTAGCAGGACGAAAAAGAAATATTGTGATTGGAAGGAACACAAATGCTTGGGGAAGATTTATTTTTACTAGAGACTATAAAATTAGATTAAAAAATTATATTTCCGAAGATATTTCATATATTAAAGTTGCAACGAGATGCCTACAAAGCTATCGTAGTAAAGAGTATATAGATTTTTTATAATCTAAAGAAGTTCTTTATCCTACATCTTGGTGTACAAGGGTTTCGATTTTACAAACTTCAAAACATAATTTTTTTAAGTAGTTTTTATTATAAAAATATTGATATAACAATTTATCATCAACAATACTGTTTATTAAAAAATAGATAATATACTTGAGCCAAAAATTAGTATTAAAATAGTATAAACAAATGTAAAGAGGTCTATAATTTAACCTAATTGACTAAACCCCTCAATGGAGTAGGAAACTGTTCAGGAAACTGGTAGGAAACAAAGAAGTAGGAAATCATTCAGTTTGTTTCTGTAGCCATGTGATGACAGTTTCCAAACAATATTGTAAAGGGCCACTGACCTCTTCCGATCAAAATACCACAGCACGATTCTTCCATCAAATATCCTAATCATCCTCTAATGCTCCGCTAAGTGTAGGATCCAGTACGGACATGGCAGCTCCTATTAAATGTATAGAACCCGTAACAAGACAATCATATGTACCAGATGCGTTTAAAAATTCCACTGCCTGGGCAAACGAAGGAAAGACTGCAGCTTTTTCTACCTTTTTGTTTGATGTTTCCTCCATATTCAGCCATTGTTCTTTGTTTGCTTCACACTGCAGCAGCTGCTTCTCTGCGGGACATACGAAATCAGCTGTATCTTTAAAAGTAAAACAAAAATGCCCTTATGATTGGCTATTATACTCGAGGTTTTTATATAAGAATAAAATGTTATTATTAGTATTATTGGTATATAACAGCTCAGTCATATATTCATCATAATATATCACTTTTAGTTTATGTGAATATTTTAAGCTTAAAAATCTCGAGTAACAAAGCATCCCTTTGAAAATGTTAAGTAATCGTGTTAGGTATGGAGAACATGATATGTGATGTTAGAAAAATGAGTATTAGTCTGGAAATTACGATAAGTGTTAGGAAACGATCTATCCCACTGTCTGAATATTCCTGCTTAATTCCGATATGTTAATACACACAAATGTAAACATATTGATGTGTTACAAACTTTATTAACAGCTCTTGAGAAACAAAACAAATAAACAAAATACATTAATAGAGTTACAAAATGTGCAAAGTCTCGCTTGCATAGAAATCACTAATGCAGCCTTAACAGTAACGCTGGACCTTACTGTACTACACATACATGTAGGTATGATCACCCAGAGGTGTTTTTGGGACAACAGAGGTTTCGCATCTAAAACCCGGCGACCTGACTAGATATCTGGAAATTTTAAGAGTTGGAACAATGCCAGACTCTATCAACAGCCGTCGAAAATACTGCTTTATTATTTCAAACTAAATTACTAGCAATAGATTTTTTGCTTCATAACTTTCTGAAGAAAATCCTCAACTCGGTCAATATACGTATGTACTGCTCATAACCAAGCTGCACTTAAGACTGAAGTTGAAAACCTGTAAGTTCGTAACAACTTGTAACTGCAACTTAAGCAACTGTCAAAGCACAACAAAGTAACTTTGTTATGGGTGCCAGAGCACACAGAAATTGCTGTTAACTAAATTCTGATAATCTTGGATTCAGAGCAGGACGATCCACAATAGATAGTATTTTCTGCTTATCCCAAATACTCGAGAAAAGAACACTGAGATCTCGAGAGGTGCATTTACTTTTAGTAGATTTAACAAAAGTATATGACACCGTATATGTCTCCCATACTATTCAATATATATATATATATATATATATATATATATATATATATATATATATATTAATAAAGTATTCAACTAGGGAATTCAGAGGTTTATTCGGTCAGTCAGGTTGGCAAAATAAAAAACAGAAGTCAACTACTTCATAAGTTTATCGAAGACGTTTCGCTTTATATTTCTAAAGCTTCATCAGTTCTCTAAAATACAAAGATGACATAGAGTTTATAAGAAATACAGATCTAATAATTAATTACTTACAACTCAATATGTAGTATTCAAGATGTTATCGTATATGTACTTAAGTTTACTCATAAATTTAGAACTAACTTAAAAAAAAATTAAACAGAAATATGCAAAAAATAACATTCGCAGAAACGAAGATTTACAAAAACTTCAAACGTACATTTGGCGATTTGGCGAAATTAATCTTCGTTTCTGCGAATGTTATTTTTTGCATATTTCTGTTTAATTTTTTTTTAAGTTAGTTCTAAATTTATGAGTAAACTTAAGTACATATACGATAACATCTTGAATACTACATATTGAGTTGTAAGTAATTAATTATTAGATCTGTATTTCTTATAAACTCTATGTCATCTTTGTATTTTAGAGAACTGATGAAGCTTTAGAAATATAAAGCGAAACGTCTTCGATAAACTTATGAAGTAGTTGACTTCTGTTTTTTATTTTGCCAACCTGACTGACCGAATAAACCTCTGAATTCCCTAGTTGAATACTTTATTAATATAAATTGACGGTCGTAGTTTTTACATATATATATATATATATATATATATATATATATATATATATATATATATATATATATATATATATATACATATCGACGAAGCACTCAGACACTGGAAAAGAAGTGTAAAGGGATGGGGATGTCTATTGGAGATGAAACGTTATACACGTTGCACTATGCAGATGACCAGGTAGTTATTACCCAAGACAAGGAAGACCTGGAGTATATGGCTAGAAAACTAATGGAAGAGTACAAAAAATGGGGCCTCGAAGTAAATTTCGCAATATCTTTGCATAGGTGGAGAAAATACTGCAGATGACCTCGACTTAGAAGACGGGAAAATTAAGAAATGCGATCAATGTATATATTTGAGGGTAAAACTAACAAAGACAGGAAGAACTGATGAAGCCCTAAAAGAAAGAATAACCAAAGGGAAACGAGTTATAGGTGCATTGAATTCAGTACTATGGCAGAAAAATATAAAACCGGAAACGAAAAAAAGAATATATAATACTATATTGAAACCAGTAATCGTCTATGGCTCAGAAGTATGGCAGTTATCACAAAAACTTAAAGGTAACCTATTGGCTTTTAAAATGGATTTTTGGAGGAGAGCAGAAGAAAGTCTAGATTAGAATATGTGAGAAATGAAGACATAAGGAATTAAATAAATTTACAAAGATCAATTATAGAAGATATAGAAAAACAACAACTGACATGGTACGGACATGTTAGACGAATGGGGGAAGAAAGACTATCGAAAAACTATTACAATGGGTACCACTAGAGAAAAGAGAACGAGGACGACCACCAACAACATGGATGCAAGGAATTTCAAAAGCAATGTCAGCAAGAAATCTATCTGAAGAAGACTGACAGAATAGACATGCTTGGCGAACGTTAAAACCAAGACTATAATTTATTACGGAAAGAGAAAATTTATTGTTGTAGCAATAGTAGCTTTTCCGATAAAAAATGGTTATGGTAACTTTACGGTAAAGCTATCATACCCATAGCTATATCTCAGCAAGGAAAAGGATTACAGAATCTTGGCGGCATATTATATTGCTAATTAATTGCTGTTGATTGGTACATTTACCAATACCCAAAAACTACTTCATCATCCCCTAGCGCAAAACTCACCCCCGGAAAAATCTAGATATGGACCAAAGGCGATGAAACTAGAAAAGTGAACCACAAGGAGCTAATTGCTAATTTATTGCTGAAGTTTTACGCCACGAAAAAATTTATTGCTGCAACTGTTTCCGGGAAACAATGGCTATGCCAACTATATGGTAAAGCTAGAATATAGCCAAAGCTATATCCCGGCAATGAAGGAAAACAAACTCTAGAAGATGCTGATGCTGTTTTGAAATAACAGGTAATGCGTCTATAGGGAAACATCACAACCCTCGTAAAACAAACTGTAAGTATATCAAGCAGTCCTGGTAAAACAAAATATGGACATATGGCTGCCGAATAATTTCAAGAGGTTATCATGTCAGCATTCGAAAACAACTGTCCGAAGGTAGTGAGGAAATCCAACAGGAAAGAAACCTGGTGAAATATCAAACTTCCAAATCAAAGGGCAAAGGAAATGGTGAACCAGGACAAAATCAAATGATCAATAAACTTATGTGAGCCATATAAATCACCGGGTCCAAACGGGATTTATCACATACTTCTACAGAAGGGAAATGACCTGTACAAAAAAATTATGTAAATTTGGAGTTAGGTATAGGAGTTGGGTATATACCATCACATACTGGGGTATCATCAAGGCTAATAACAAGGCTTATGTCATGTGTACTGAAGACTCTAGAAAAACCGCTCGATATGTATATTAAAGATTTTATATTCGTTGAAAGTCCGATATATCAGGGACAGTATGCGTCTCGAGAATGACTCTTTATGAAAACAGACGAAACAAGCTGCAGATGAATAGACTGTCTGTTGAGGAGGCGTGTCATAAATGCAATGTTACTTGGGGATACAGTGTCACCACAAGTAGACAAACACTGTCCGCAAGAGAGATTTGTCTCTTGTGAAATATGGTCATAGATGGGCTGATAGCTAGATTAAATATCGACAAGAATCATGCCCTGAGTTATGCGGATAACCTAGTAATCTTAACCCACGGCAAATTCAATGACACAGTTAGAGATAAAATGCAACAGGCTCTCACTGTAGTTACAAAATTGACTTCAAATGTAGGGCTTAGCATAACCTCTAAGTGTCCAAAATCATGAAATTTACCAGATGGGGGAATTTACAGGGACTGGGTCCTCAAAGCCTGAATGGTACATATCTAAATCTGGTGAGTGAAGTAAAGTATCTTGGAATAATATTATACTCGGAATAATATTATACTCAAGACTTACTTAGAATTATCCGACAGAACGAATAATCAAGAGAGCGACAACTGAGTTAATGCTACCCAGACACACTCATGAAAAAACGTGTGGTTTAAAACCAAACATGTTATATTGGAATTATAAGATGGTGGTAAACCAACAATTCCAGATGCATTGGTGATATGGTGGCCAAAGGTGCAGCCAAAAAGTGTCATCCTCAAACTAAATATTAGCAAAGACTTCCTTGCCTCGCAATCGCGGTGCTTATGAGGGGCACACCAACGGTAGCTAAAAGGCCCTACTGTACATTCCCATTACTGTACACATAGTTATAATAGGGATAGAGATAGGTAAATATAGACTCCGAGAAAACCTGACCAATGTAAAGGTTAGATCAGGACATAGTAACATCATAGCTAAAATTAGGGATTCCGAATGGATAATAATTTCTGACCATATGGTACCTATATAGGCCTGAAGTACCATTCCAAATGTAGATTTGCCAGAGAGAGGAATGGGGTAGAGAAAGCACTCGACTTTAACTCTGTTTTAAATACTAAAACAGGTATACACATATGTAGCATAATTATACTAAGTAAATGTATGCATTTAGTAGTATATGAATGTGATAAATTTAAATGATACATTTAAACGGATGTAAGTTTAGGTTTTGATGTTCTTACAATTGTTGATATCTCCAATTAAAAGTTATTAAAATGATTTTTTTTAGTGCTTACCCCTATTTTTTAATAATTTTCACAAATCTTTTAGACATATTATAAGTAAGAAGCCACCCGCATAAAATAATAATGAAAATTACCTGGTTTATCATTACTGCTACCTACATTCGGAATGAAAATAACCACGTCAAAATTACATTTCGTTAGTTCCTTAAAAAAAACTTCTGAAGCTCTGGCTCTGGTAACGTTAAATATCAGGCACCGTTTTCTTTTGCTGTTCTTAACGTGTGCAATAAACCAATCTCTGCACACACAACAACTGTCAAGTGTATGTGCACCATCCAGATAAAACCTACAATATGTTAAATAAAAGAAACGAAATTGATTGTAATGGAACAAATTGTTGTAATGAAAATTACATTTTTAAATAACGTTTGACGTTATGATTTCCTCTTCGTAAGTCGTGTTCAAAAAAGGATTATCTTTAAAAAAAATACGGTAAAATGTATAATCAACATAATCCTTTTTTTTTAATTATTTCCGGAGTGGAAATCGAAACTTCAAACGATATTTAAAAATGAAATGTTTATTACAAATAATTGTGGCTTAACCTCATATAAACATAGTATTTAATTCAAATATATTTTCACTTTGTATCCACATAATTGTTTATGAGTTTTATTACTTTCCTGAAAAATAAATCTGTATATATCGCAAAAGTAACAAAAAGAACTTAAACATCATTTAGACTATTTTATTTTCTTTAACCCTTAGAGGCCGTTCCTTGCGTTTCTGGGCATACCTAAGTTCCAATGTAAAAGTTTATATCAAATAACGCAAAAACTATGGCAGATATTGAGATGATTCTTTTTTTATATGAAAGGTCTTAAAAAGTTCTAGTGCACTATTTGGTTGTAAATTAATAAATTGTTTAAACAATTTTTTTTTTTTCAAATATTTTTGGTTAAAATAAACGTAAATTTTTTTTTTAAATAGGGCACTACAGAATTTGACCCACTTTCCGAATCTGTTTTTATTTTTAACATAAAGTGTAACACAAAGCAGCTATTTGGTATAAACTTTTTTTAAAATCTCAAATTTTGCTAAATGTAACTTTCTCTCTCGGCCAGTACAGGCTGTCCTTGTCGATAGTTTCTGGATTCTCGCCGACGGTTAGGTTGGTTAGGTAAGAAGTATAATACCCTCTCGAGGGTGGGTCATAAATAATGTTGAATAACATTATTAGGGTTTATTTCGACTTTTGACAAACCAGTGTGTTAATTGTTTTTAAAATGGGTAGTTCACGATTTTATAATAATACTATTGTTTCAGTATTTGCTTATATAATAATAATTTATTATGTAGAAACAGCGTAGAATTTTGGTCAATCAGCCAGTACATTTTTTTGTATTGCAATCAGAATTATTATTTTCTTTTCTTCTTTACATAAAAGCTTAGAGTAATACTCAAATATTTTGCAGTATTTGAATACGGAATTTGATTATTTATATTTATTGGACAATATCCAAATATTTTGCTGTATTTGAATATGGAATTTGATTATTTATATTTATAGGAATATTTATTTTCAACGTTTTTGTTAGTAAAGTTTACATAATATATGAAGTTTGTTTCTTCACTTGCTTGTCCAGCCATATTAGTCCAGGCTAATAAGGATTTTCTCGTGACACTCAATAATCCAGGTAGCTGACAACTTTTTTAGTTATTGTAGACCTATAAGAAGAAAACCTACCTGTTTCCTGCGTAAAGTTCGGAACCGTTTTTTAATGATTAACAATTAATGCAAAAAACGCGATTCTTTCGATTTTTGCACTCTATTATTTATTTATTTATTTATTTATACGCACAACAGGCCGTTAAGGCCTAGAGCATTTTTTTACAACATAATTCTAATATTAACTAATTACAATTATTTTAAACAAAACTCTAACTTAAATATGTATATATAACATTCTTAACTACTCTGAAGGATCTGGTGTACAATATTTTTCCCTTCGCTTCTATTTTGTGCTTTTTTTCCATTCCCTCACCTTCACGTGTTTCAGGTCTTCCTCCACTTTACTAATCCACCTCGTTCTGGGTCTACCTCTTCTTTTGGGGCCGATTAATTTTCTGGTTATTACTAGTTTAGGAATTCTGTTTGCTGCCATTCTTCCACATGTCCCAACCATCTGATTCTTTGTGCCTTGACGAACTTCGTAATAGTAGGTTCTTTGTATAAAGCCATTAATTCATTGTTGGTTCTTCTCTCCCAACCATCTTCTGCCTTCCGTCCTCTGAATATGCATCTCAATATTTTCCTTTACCATCTTTCCAGAGTATCCTCTTCCTTCTTATTTAATGTCCAGGCTCACCGGCATATATTACTGTGGGTGGAATTACTGTTTTATATATTCTGAGTTTACCTTGTCTAGAAACGTATTTTGAGTTCAGTAGGGCTCTTAAACCACCTAATTTTTTATTCACTTTTGCTATTCTGGCTACGAGCTCCCATTTCTCTTTTCCATTTTCATCGAAAACTACACCTAGGTATTCAATTTTGTCCACCCTTTTAAAACTATAGCTTTTACCACTTACTGACCTCACACTAAAGTCTTCTTTTTTCCCTTCTGTTCCTTCCATGATCATATATTTAGTTTTGTCTTCATTTAGTTCCAATCCAAATTTCTGTGCTTCTTCGATGATTTTCTTCACAACTCTTCTTAATTCTTACTCGGTTTTTGCTAGGATCGTTAGATCATTAGCAAATGCCAAGCACTGGTGCTCATTTTTCATGATCGTTTCTTCCATCCTCATGCTGCATTTTCTGATTACAGTTTCTAATACTAAGTTGAATAATGTAGTGGATAAAGGGTCTCCCTGTCTTAAGCCTTTTGCAACCGTAAATTGATCTGATATGTGACCCTGCCAAGCAGGGTGCTAACAGGTGAAGATGCTAACAGAGTAATGCCTCTATAGTTCTTACAATCCAGTTAATCGTCCTTTTTATGCAACGTATATTATTTCATTTAGCCACTCTTCTGGTACAAATTCATTTCGCCATATAAGTACTATTAGTTTTTGGGTTACTGCAAAAAAAACAGATTTAATCGATTCCTGTGGCTTTATTGTCTTTAGGACGGCATTTGACACTTCTATTATTGTTGGGTGTTCACGTTCACTGTGTAGTTGTCGATGTAGATTTTGTTGATTGTCTATGTTGTAACCTCTTTCAATATCGTGTATATCATATATTATATAAATATATATAATATGATATAATAATAATGTAGTTATTCTTCTTCAAGTTCCACTCCTATCGGAGATTGAAAATCATTCTGGCAATTATCATTTTGTTGGATATGCGCCTGAATAGTTCAGTTGAATTGCATCCAAACCATTCACGGAGATTGCGTAACCACTAGATTTTACGTCTTGATGTGTGATGTATGATGTGCCCCAAGTATTCTAATTTCCTGATTTTTATGGAATTTAAAACTTCGCATTGTTTTCCTAGTTGTTTGAGAACTTGTTCGGTTGTTTTGCGATCCATCCATGATATTTTCAAAACACGTCGGTAGCAGCACATTTCGAATGCTTCTAGGTTTTTAATGTTGGATTTTTTAAGTGACCAAGCTTAAATCCCATATATAAGGGTAAAGAAAATATAACATCAAAGCATTCTTATCCGAAACGATATATTGATATCTCGATTACAAAAAAGTTTTCTCATTCTATTAAAAGTTGACCGTGCAATTCCAATGCGGCATCTTATTTCTTTTGTCTAATCAGTATCTTCTGTGATCCATGCTCCAATGTATTTGTACAAAGATATTTGTTCAATTTCTGTATTATCTAGTACTAGTTTAACTTTGAAGCTTTGTGCTTTTGTAAATACCATGAACTTGGTTTTCTTCAAATTTATTTTTAGTCCAAAAAATGTACCTAAAATAAAATGTCTTCCGACGTTCATTTTTCATTCAATTCGGTTGTTCCATTGTTCTTTAAGTTCTTTCGAGCTCATTAAGTTTCTTATTCCTTCCATCCGTGTTTTCTAAGGTAATCCTCTCTTCTGGATTACGGTAGGTGTTCATACAGATACTTGTTTTAGGAGTCTACCGTCTTTCATTTATTGGACCTGTACCCATTTGAGCTGCTTTCGTTGTATGCCATCCATGACTGTACCTTCTATTCTCATACTTTAATGCATTAAGTTCGACGAGATATCTTTCTTCGATATTAATCTGTCTCTGTTAATCGTCGTGTTTCACAACCGTATAAATAAAGCATGCTTTTTACCACAGTTTCATGGGTTGTAGTGCTAGAGAGCATGTCAGCTGTGCCAAAACGAAAAATAATCCTCCTTATTGCTTCCACTGGAATAAGCTTGACCATTTAACTGGGCCCGGGCTACGTCTTTCTAATTCTTTAAACTCCTGTTTTGAAATTAATAATTATTTTGTCTAATTACCTATTTAGTTGTCAAAACAGATACATTGTTAACTAAAGAAGTGAAAATGGTTCAATTTAGAAATTATATAGTAAATAATAAATATTTGAAAACTGATGCACATATTCCTCCCGCGATTTATGCTTCAAGTACTAATTTTATAAATCGCACTTCTACTAATAGACGTAAATTCTTTCATTTTAATTTCATGAATGTTTGTATTCAACATTATTTCAAAACCGCACTGAATAGAAGGCCGGCTACTCGTTTATTGTATAGACCCAAGACTTTACACAATAGGGGGTTGTATAAGGTAGGTATAAAGCTAACGTCTAGTACAAGATGACGTTTATAATATTCTTCGTGAATGGATTTTGTTGTTGTAAAGAAAGATATTTTTGAAATAGATATCTCTCTGAATTTTACCGTTACAATTTTCGAGGATAAGCCTTAACTCGTGACGTGCCGTCAAAATGACGTATCACAACTGCGCGTTAATTCTGGATCCCCACTACTCTAAATTTGTACAGTCAAAACTCTCAGTACCTTTACTTGCAGTTTATTCATCGAAAGTACATAGCAGAAATTTGTTGCGTTTTCAAACGATATATTTTGAATTACCAAATGTAGAAAATCACAATACGTCAAATTGACGGCACATCACAATTCACGTAAATATTTCAATAAATTGTGCAATATAAAAATGGCCAGTTCACGCAAGAAATTAAAAGTGAGTGATGCGGATTTTAGTAATATTTCATTACAATGTTATATCCAATGTGACAGTGGCCTTAATGATTCTGACGATAGCATATTGGATGAAAATTTTATACCTACTGAGCACGAAACAGATAGTGAACAAGAAGGCGATAACAACAGCAATGAAGTTTTATTACCTTCTGAAGAATCAAGTACTACACCTGAAAGCGAGGATGAAGATAATAACGATAAAAAATATTTTTATGGTAAAAATAGATTTAAGTGGTCAAGCGTTCCTCCAGCAAAAAATGTACGGAGTGCTGTACATAACATATCCAAGATTCCCAGTGCAATTCGTTTACCCGAAAATAATCGTAAGTACATATTTGAAAGATTATTATCTGAAGATATAGTTACTATAATACTAGAGTGGACCAATCAGAAATTATCTGCTCTAAGGAGCAAGTATGCAAATGATAACAGGTCAGAATTAGCTGATGTAAACACAGTTGAGTTTAGAACTTTCTTAGGATTGCTGTTATATTAATAAATATTTAAATCGAATCACGAAGATGTCGACTCATTCTTTGCTACAGACGGAACTGGCCGAGATATCTTCCATTCCGTAATGTCGAAGAAAAGTTTCTTGACCATTTTAAGCGCTCTGAGATTTGACAATCCTTTTGCATGAGATGAAAGAAAGAAGACTGATCCATGTGCTGCTATTTCTGATGTTTTTTGAATATTTATACAGAACAGTCAGGAGATATACTCCATTGGTACCACTGGATGCATCGATGAAATGCTTATTGGATTTAGAGGGAGATGTAAATTCAAGATCTACATGCCACAAAAGCCTGCAAAATATGGAATTAAAGTAATGTGTCTAAGTGATGCCTGAACCAGTTATTTGTTCAATGCCTATATATATATATATATATATATATATATATATATATATATATATATATATATATATATATATATATATATATATATAAATATATATATATATATATGGAGGAAAAAACACCGATGGGGTAGGTCTGGATAATCAAGAAAAAAAACTAAATGTTTCAACTCAATATGTTCTCCGATTATGCAAGCCTATTTATAAGACAAACATGAACATTACCGCCGATAACTGGTTTTCCTCTATAGAACTAGTGGACATCCTAAAGATAAAAAGTTTGACGTACCTTGAAAAAAAAAATAAAAAGGAAATTCCACCGGCGTTCCTTCCAACGATTTCCAGAAAATTTGACGAATCTCTTTACGGGTTTACTAAAGAACTAACGCTTTTTTCTCATGTGTCAAAGCGAAACAAGGCGGTTATACTTGTTTCATCGATGCACCACAGTGAAAGTATTGACGGTGATTCTGGAAAGCCTGAAATTATTGCATTTTATAACGCGACAAATATTCGAGCAGTCGCCGTACACGTAGGTGGCCAATGTCAATATTTTACAGAGTTGTCGACATAGCTTCTACAAATGCATATATTGTGTATTGTTCGGCAAATTCTGAAGAGAAAATAACTCGATTCTAATTTATCAAAAGTTTAGCACATGATTTAGTAACACCACTGCTTACCAGAAGACTAGTCAACACACGAATTCCTAGAGATATTCCAATGAATATTTATAGGATACTTCACGTTCCCGTTCCGGTTGTCGAAACAGTAAACGAGAAGTTGCCAAATAGAAAAACCTGCCTTATCTGTCCGCCAAGGATAAAAAAAGAACTGCTTATGCGTGTGTTGAATGCAAGAGACCAACTTGTTTAGACTGTTTAAAAAAATTGTAATAATTGTTACAGTCTACGCTAAGTAGCGTATGCTTGTATTTATTCTATACCTATTTTTGGCTAAGTTTACCCCTCTAAATCAGAGAAATGATAACCGAAAAAAGAAAACTAAGACGCAAGTGGCATCAGTCTAGAGCACCAGTTAATAAAACTAGATTAAATAATACCACACAAAAATTAAAATGAGAAATACAAAAAATTAAAAACGAATCTGTTAACATTTACCTAAGTGAACTATCAAATGATAGCGCTACTGATTACTCTTTGTGGAAGGCTACTAAGCGATTAAAAAGGCCAATCTTACAGTATCCACCAATTAGAAATACTAATGGTAGCTGGGCAAGAAGCAATATATAAAAGGCCAACAGGTTTGCTGAACACCTAGAAAATACTTTTCAACCAAATGAAGAACAAGAAAGAATAAACTGGGAGCTCCCTGATCAAGACGAAATGGAGATTAGCCTTATAAGTCCAAAAGAAGTATATTTGGAAATAAAAGAAAATATAAATCCAAAGAAAGCTCTTGGATTTGATCTAATTACTGGGGAAGTGTTAAAGCAACTTCCAAGGAAAGCTATTATAAAATTAACACATCTTATAAACGCTTCCTTTAGGTTGAGGTACGTACCAAAGATATGGAAGGTGGCAGAAATTATGACACTAAAACCAGGAAAACCTCCACAAGAAGCTTCTTCATATAGGCATATTTCACTGTTACCTGTCATGTCTAAATTATACAAAAAATTACTCTTGAAGAGACTAAAACCGATTATAGAGGAAAAAAATTTAATTCCTAATTATCAGTTTGGGTTTAGAGCAAGCCACTCAACGATAAATCAGGTGCATAGAATAAGAGATATCATAGAAAAAGCTCTAGAAGAAGGAAAAGTTTGTTTCGCAATTTTCCTCGATGTAGCGCAGGCTTTTGACAAGGTGCGGCATGACGGACTATATCATAAAATGAGATGCTACTTACCAAAACAATATTCTGAACTACTAGAATCATATATAACCGACAGATACTTCCGAGTTAAATATGAGGAAGCATATTCAGAATTAAGAGAAGTTAAAGCTGGAGTTCCACAAGGAAGTGTCCTGGGGCCAGTGCTATACCTGCTCTATACCAGCGATATTCCATCATTAGAACCTAACACAATTGCGACATTTGTAGACGACACATGCATTCTAGCAGTAGGACAAAACCACGAGGATGCAGCTACCATGCTACAGAACTCTGTTGAACAAATTAACATCTGGACCAGCCGATGGCGTATCAAATTGAATGAAACAAAATCTGTTCATGTCAATTTTACTAACAAAAGAGAACAACATATCCCAGTACATATAAATAGAAACCAAATACCTTATGCAAATACGGCAAAATATTTGGGTATGACGTTAGATTTAAAGCTACGTTGGAAAGCACATGTTCAGAAAAAAAAGGAGGAATTAGAAATTAAGTTCAGAAAGATGTACTGGTTGATGGGAAAAAAATACACTTTGTCTATTTACAACAAATTGCTATTATATAAGCAAGTCCTTAAACCGATATGGACATATGGAATACAGCTATGGGGCTGTACAAAAGAAAGCAACATCCAACATATACAACGATATCAGAATAAAGTATTAAGGAACATCGTTGACGCTCCATGGTACTTTAGAAACTGTGATCTTCATCGAGACCTCCAGATGGATACAGTTATCCAGACAATAAGTAAGTTTGCCGAGAGTCATGAACAAAGGCTCTCCAACCACCTGAACCAGATAAGAAGATTAAAGAGATCGAAGCCGTTTGATTTAGTGCTATAAGTGAGTGAAAGTGAAAAAGCAGAGTAAAGTGCGGCTAAAGTGTACACGTTAGCTAGTAGTACTATAATGTATTAGAGCCTAAGGAATATTGCTGAATATAACCTTAGATAAGTTTCTTGTAATATTTATATATAGAACTATCTTGCTTATTGATCATAGTGAATGATCAGATAGCAATAGTCATAAGATTCCTGTTGGAGTTTTATTAAACAAAAAAAAATGACACAAAAATTGAAAACAAAAGAATGACACTTTACGAGATTTATTTAAGCGTTAGTAATTAAAAAAATAATAACATTCGTAATTTCTTAATATTAATTTTATGGCGGTGTCACTTTGATGGCACGTTACCAATTGCGTGACAACTGTGGCACGTCACCAGTTAAGGGTTAAAATTGTGTTTAAAAAAAAAACTTATTTGCATTTATATTATGAACCACCACAATATTACAAAAGTGACCTGGTAAATTAAATTAAAAGGTATAAACTAATAAAAATAAGGAACCTTACGTATTTTTTTGGAAGTTTCTTATTTCATACCGCCCAGGCCAATATGTTTCCTCAATTGATCTTTTCGCTAAATCCAAATCGAATTTCTTAAAATTGTTATTGGTATCTAAAACACACAAATAAATCGTAAACCTAATATATAACACAGTGTGGTCCAACATCAGGCACGCGGGCCACATTCGGCCCGAGGCTCGATAGCTGAGTTGAACTGTGGCCTCTGCAAACACATTACAAAAATATTGCCATTGATAACTTTTTCCTGTTCCAACCCGGTCTAACTTTCCGTAATCTTAAGAAAGTACCAAAATTTTCGAAGAGAATCGTATGTTCAAAGGAAAATGGAAAAATCAATATTTCTTCATCGAATTAAATGGCAAACCTCAATGCATTATTTGTTGCCAAGTACTCGCGGTATCAAAAGAATACAATATTAGTAGGCATTATGAAACCCAGTACAAAACAAAATACGACAAATATCAAGGTGAAGCTTGCAATACTCTTGTAAAAGAACTTAAAGCTAAATTGAATAAACAAAAATCTCTATTTACAAAACCGACAGCTGTTCAATCATCAAGCTTAGCAGTATCATATAAAGTATGTTTAGGGAGAGCGCCCACCAAACTGGCATGGTAAATGGCAAGTAGCAAGTAGCACGCGTCTAGCATGTTACTTAAAATGTGAACAATGAAAACGAATGATTCAGCGCACGCCAAAATGACAATGACGTCATTCATTCTAATCATTCGTTTGCATTGGTTGCATTTTAAATAATATGCTAGACGCATGCTACTTGCTACTTGCCACTTACCATGCCAGTTTGGTGGGCGCTGTCACTTAGAGATTGTCAAAAGTAAAAAAGCATTTAGAGATGGAGAAATGATCAAGAGGTGTGCCGTTAAAATAACGTGATCCTTTGGAAACGAAAAGATGGCCAATAATTTCGAATGTGTTTCAGTTTCCATCAAACTGTATCTAGAAGAGTTGATGAGCTGAATACTCATGTATTTAAAAAAAATGGTTTGACACACTTCGTGATTGTTGATTGTTGATTGTTGATTACTGACAAAAATCAGCTTTAATTTTTGTTAGATGCATCAGTTAAGATTTTTGTGTAACTGAAGAACTTCTAGAACTGCACCACATGGAAGACGGGACCAAAGGTATAAATATATTTGAAGCAGTTAGTGACGATGTGAAAAATATAGGCGGTTTTCAAAAGTGCTCTTGCGTTTGCACCGACGGAGCAAAAGCAATGATGGGATGCATAACGGTAGGAGGAAACAGAGCTCAGCAACACCGAAAATTCATCTCTCTCTTGGAGGAATTAAATACTGAATATAAGGACGTCCCCCATGCATTCAGCGATACGATGGTTGAGTGCAGGTAAATGCCTTAGAATTTTTTTTCTTTAAGAAAAGAGATCTTACTGTTTTTTAAATCGGAAATTGTTATTAACACGGACGTATTTATAACAAGCTTAAAACCAAAACATTTCTTCGTGAACTGGCATTTCTAATAGACATTACCTCTCACTTGAACACATTAAACATACAACTCCAGGGGAAAAATAAGACAGTATCACAGTTGGTTGGTCAAATTGATACATCTCGCAAAAAACTTGATCTCTTCGAAAACTGCATGAAAATAAAGGAGCTCACACATTTTCCTGTGTGTTTCGAAATAAAACAAGAAGAAACCATGGCCGATTTCTCGAGTTTTGCAAAAGTTTAATTAAGAGTTTAATTTTAAATATTTTTTAACTTCGTAAATATATTCAACGATTTATTGATTTATTTTGTAATAATACCCTTGATAAAAATAACAAAATACCTTGACATACAGTAAAAAAATAATTAAAGTTTTAATCAAACAATAACAGAACCTTAGAACATGAACATTAAGAGTAAATATTTTAATAATAGAAAGAAAAAAAGAATTTAAGCACCAAAAGAATTTAAGGATGATACTGGGCCTGACATTATACGAGAAGAAATTGAATATGCAATGAAACAAGCTAAAGATGGTAAATCTCCCGGGCCTGATGAAGTTCCTATCGAATTACTTAAAATTGTGAATACTGAATCTATTGATCTTCTTTTGGATCTATTCAATACCATATATATAACAGGTATAATACCTAAAGAATGGCTCCAATCAACATTCATACTGCTTCCCAAAAAAGCCAATGCAAAGGAGTGCAATGAACATCGCACCATAGCCTTAATGAGTCATGTCTTGAAATTGTTTTTAAAAGTAATTCACAATAGAATACATAAGAAATTAGATGAAGGCATAAGTATTACACAAATGGGATTTAGGAAAGGACTGGGAACACGAGATGCACTGTTTGCAATAAGTGTTCTTTCGCAGAGATGCTTAGATATTAATCAGGAAGTATATGCCTGTTTCATTGATTTTGAGAAGGCATTTGACAGAGTGCAACATAATCGACTTAAAGAAATTTTATTAAATAAAAACATAGACAGTAGAGACATTAGAATCATCTGTAACCTCTATTGGAATCAAACAGCAAAAGTGAAAGTTGAAAACGAAGTGACCAAGGATATCCAGATTCGCCGTGGGGTCCGCCAAGGGTGTATTTTATCACCCTTGTTATTCAATTTATACAGTGAAGCCGTCTCAGAATTAGCGCTTGCCGAAATCAGTGAGGGCATTATAATAAACGGTGAGCCACTTAATAACATAAGATATGCTGACGACACCGTCCTTTTGGCAGAAACACTAGAAGAACTGCAACACCTTGCTGAACAACTAAATATATATTGCAACGATTATGGACTAAAAATCAATTTGAAGAAAACCAAGTTCATGGTATTTACAAAAGCACAAAACATCAAAGTTAAGCTAGTACTAGACAATACAGAAATTGAACAAATATCTTCGTACAAATACCTTGGAGCATGGATCACAGAAGATACTGATCAGACAAAAGAAATTAGATGCCGCATTGAAATTGCGCGGTCAACTTTTAATAGAATGAGAAAACTTTTTTGTAATCGCGATATCAATATATCGCTCCGGATAAGAATGCTTCGATGTTATATTTTCTCTACCCTTTTGTATGGAGTTGAAGCTTGGACACTTAAAAAATCCAACATTAAAAACCTAGAAGCATTCGAAATGTTGTGTTACCGACGCATTTTGAAAATATCATGGATGGATCGCAAAACAAACGAACAAGTTCTCGAACAACTAGGAAAACAATGCGAAGTTTTAAATTCCATAAAGATCAGGAAATTGGAATACTTGGGGCACATCATGAGAGGTGAAAAGTACGAACTACTAAGGAATATAATGCAGGGTAAAATCAAAGGTAGAAGAAGCGTAGGAAGACGTAAAATCTCGTGGCTACGCAATCTCCGTGAGTGGTTTGGATGCAGTTCAATTGAACTATTCAGGCGAGTAACCAATAAAATTATAATTGCCAGAATGATTTCCAATCTCCGATAGGAGTGGAACTTGAAGAAGAATTTTAATAATTTGATATTATTAACTCACAAATTCACGAACAACAAATAATGGCAATCGCACAGAATGAATGTTCATATTCAAAAGTCCTTATCTACTCTTCAAAAAATTTAAAAAAAAAACAATATTACCAACTTCTTATGGAACAAATACACACAAAATAGAATTGTTTGGAAAGGTTTTCTATGCTCCGCTCATCGTGACGTCAGACTTGGTATTTCATTATAAAATGCTTGTCTTGCGTTTACAAGCATGAGTCATAATCTTAGCACAAACATTTTGTGTTTTACTTTTTTAAGCGATAATTCTTTTCCCTCTGGAGATCTTTGTCGTAAACGGTCGATTTAATACATCTCCAAAAAACCTCCATATCTGGAAGATTCTCGGGGAACCTGATGTAAAATTCATTAAGATAGCACGCCTTAGATGGATAGGACATGTAAACAGACAAGAGGAAAGTACAGTCGGAAAAGTTTTTGACCCAAAAGGGCCGATGGGACAATGGGACAAGAATAGCCATAGAATAGAGCCAGAATCAATAGCATAAGGAAGAATAATTTGAACAATAGTGAACTATATACTGAAAAGAGAAGGGTGGAAAATATGCAGAACAAAGTAAAAGGTTATATATGGAAGAAAAAATTAATAGTATTAAAGAAGATTTTGTAAATAACAAAGTCACGAACTTCTACCTAGAAATAAAAAGAGAACAAAGTCAATATAAAATCCCAGCGAAGTGTGATAGAGATCAGGACTGACATTAAGTAGAAGGAATAGACGAAAAACTGGGCAGATCGGCCAGATATTTTAAAACTATACCTAACACCGATGAAGAACAATATCTTAGCTACTAAATATAGCAGGCACTAGAAGAAATAATACACCGAATGGGAGCGAAAGATACTCAGAAGAATATATGGAGGTATAAAAGATGGGCATATCTGGAGAAGAACAAATAGTGAAATAATGCAAATATATGGACAATAAAAAATCTTAAATATTGCGAAAGTTCAAAGACTAAGATGGCTCGGACATGTAACTAGAATGAGAAAAGGAAGTATCCAAAGCATTAATAAATACTGAAGCTGGCACAAAAAGGAAAAGAGGACGACACCACGAAGAAAATGGATGGAATCGTCAAATGAGACTTGGGATTGTTAGGAGTACAAAACTGGAGAAACCCAGCACAAGATACAAAGAAATGGAAGAAAACCATTGAAGCCTTGGCCCTCTAGTTTGAGCTAATGATTGAGCTGATATATATTCAAAATATCAGTTGGGTACTTAGAACATATTATGACATAATTTTGGTACCGTTAAACAAAATTTAATTTTCAATTACCAAAATAGTTTTGAAGATTATCTAACCTTTGTTTATAAAAGCTTCTGACAAGGCCAAAGCTAAACTCGCATTAGTTTGTCGAACGTGCAATGGTATGTTCGAATTAGTTCCACTATAGTAATCACTCTCCACGACAGTTAGAGAACACTGAAAATAAAACAAGAATTAGAATAAATCAAGCCTTAACCAACAGATATTTATAGTGGTAAATTTGAGTTAAATAACGTTACTTATTATTTTTCATTTCGTACATTTTTCTCTACACTTCGTTCTTCAAAAACTTTTAATGCGTTCGAAGGTTGCTTTACTGTAAATGCTGAACATCCTGCCTTCATAATTCCTGCTTTATTCCAAGCGATTGATTCTAAAGTATTACCTAATAAGGCCATATGATCGTAATCTAAAGGAGTTATCCCCACCACTGAAGTTTTTCTGAAAATGAAAAATTGTGATGTCAAAATTTAATAAAGAAAACAAGTTTCTAAAAAATTTAAATAAATTATCGGTTTTTTCTTACATATTAAACATAACTAGTTATTCTTCATTATATAAGATTCGTATAATTTTCGCTGACATATGAGAGACTGATTTCATGTGAAAGTAGGATTACATCAGAGCTCAGTGTTCATTCTCATTGGTTTTGGATCAGCATTAGATACAATGCAAGATACTTAATGTATGCTAACAATGTAGTGTTAGTAAGAAATACTATTGGGATTTAAAAAAAAAAACCTGGAACAGTGAAGTTCTTGAAGAAAAAGGTCTAAAACTTAATAGGACAAAAACAGAGTATCTAAAGATACGATAACTTTGAATGGTAAAACGATTGTGAAAAGTAATAGTATTAGGTACCTTGGTTCGGTATTACAAGTTAATCGGCAAATAGATGGAGATGCATACGATCAGCTATGAAGTATGGAACTGAATGTTGGAGAGTTAAAAAAAGAGGAGCAACAAATGGAGTGGCAAAAAGAATGGAGTGGCAAAAAAGAATAATATAGCAAACAATAATAAGAGAAGTCTAGATGTAGCACTATTGATACTAAAATGAGAGAGCATAGTTTAGAATGGTTAACGCATGTTCAACATCGAAATATGAATCCCCAATAGGAACAATTACCGAGTTGCCAGTCCCTGAAAGGAGTAGAAGAGGAACTTCAAAGAAGACTTGGGGCTTTAGGCAGAATATTTCTGTGAACGGAATGATATTGCTATGACCCAATGTATACAGGTCTGGGGAGGTATAATTAGGGAAGCAGACCCAACATAGGTATAGATAATGAAGTATAACCAGTTATCTCGTGTATTATGAATAGTCTTAGTCTATAAAGAATATAACGGATACTTGGGAAACCATAAAATCCATAAATTATTATCGTCTTAACAAGTATCGCAAAGATATTATTTTGAGAAACATATGAACTGGTATCGCATTGTAAAGAGTTTTTAATATATTGTAGTAATACAGTGTCCTTTGGTTAATGATGAATTAGGTACATCTTTTACTAAGATTTTTTTTGCAGATTGTAGTATTGTCCCCAGATGGTGTGAGTTAACAGAATCATCATTATCATCAAGACAGCACGTTAACAAAATATACCGAATGGATGATAACTTCAGTGACCACAATGTAGATAGAGACCTAAAGTACCTTTCCACGTGGGTAACTAATCACTAGAGGGATCGGTCCGAGGAAACTCACAACAGAGACTGAAAGATTATACTTAGTACAAAAGGGGTCTGGAACCGCAGAAGAATAATTGTATATAAAAATACTCAGTAGTGGTGTAAATATAAACATTTCGATTTCCCTAAGAGAATATAACTCTATTTAGGGCAGAGATTTGTGCAATCTAGCACTGTGCAAGAGAAATTAATGCGAGGGATTTCCAACTAAAGCAGATCAATATATGCACAGATAGTGAAGCTCTAGGGGGCTCTTAGAAGCTCTAAGGTAAACACTAGGCTAGTGGGAATGCAAAAAAGAACTCAACAGATTGGCAGACATAACAGTCTCATGCGAAGAAACTTTTATTGGGAACTAACTGGGTTAACAATGTGGTTGTTCCATTGAGACGTAAGATGCAGACTTTGTAGCAGACAACCTAAAACAGTCAACCATATCTTGTAGGGAGACCTGTACAATGGATTTATCTCATGAAGACTATGTAATAAAGTAGTATGTAGTAGATAACCTGAAACAGTCAAACATATTTTGCATGACTGCGAGGCACTAAATCGCAGGCAGTAAACACTTTTCGGAGACTGCCAAGTGACTCTAAATACATATGGTACCCATGCACGAGACCCGTACAAGCCGGTACAGAGTACCAGGATTTTGGAATGAGTATCCCGAATAAATGGAAGATGTACAAAAAGCTAATTTACTGCAGTACGACCAGTTTATAACAGATGTATGAAAAGCGATACGTGTAAAAAACGCAGAGTAGGCAATCATATTAGCCAGCACAGAATGAATTAAGACAAGAAGAGAGTTGGAGTGAGTGAGTAAACGAAGGAGGAACGACTACCTGGAAGAGTGAGTGGGACCGATGAGAAGTAAATTTCTTTTAATCCCTTATGCCTTGGCTATTGCCAGTTTTCCTATGGCAAGAAAATATTTTAAAGTCTATGAAGTTACTAACACAATACAAGGTTAATTTTTCTAGGCCTAACTTTTGTCGACCTTTTTGGGTGAAGAATTCCACAGTACATGATCGACCATGCAATAATAACTGCAGCTGCTATTTAGAATCCAATGGCTACCTGAAAATAAAAACATGAAAGTATCTAGATTCAGCTACATCAGCAACTAATTACTATAATCTGCAATCTTGTCTAACTACAAGTCAATATTAAAAGCCATAAGTATTATTTAGAAATCTTATTATGCAAAGCTATAGGTAATATTGACATTGATTTTAATTTAATATTAAAATTTCAATGTTTATATTTATTTATGTATAATAAATATGATCAGTTAATATCTAATATTGTCTAATGGACCAATGGGATCCTCAACAAGAAACAAAATGCCGTACCGAACAAGCAAGACAAGCTTTTATCAAATTTAAACCGCAATCTTTCCTTCAATCTCCGCTACAGGATGGTTAAATGCTATGTATGGTCCATATTGTTATACGGCATGGAAACATGGACGTTAAGAGTACCTTCCATTAATAAGTTGGAGGCCTTCGAAATGTGGACGTTGCGAAAAATGTTCCGCATACCATGGACAGATAGGGTGAGAAACGAGGAAGTCTTCAGAAAGGCAAATACTGAGAGAGAACTACTCAATTTGATTAAGGTACGAAAAATTGGATACCTCGGCCATATTCCGAGAGGAAAAAATACGCAATCCCTCAACTAATCATCCAGAGAAAGATTGAAGGCAAGAGAGGAGTAGGTCGCAAACAAATGTCGTGGCTACGGAACATAAAGAACTAGACAGACATAAATAACACTAGCGATCTTTTACATGTCGCAAAAGACAGACGCCTGGCCTTAAGATAATTCGCCAACGCACTATAGGTATATGGCAGCACTATAAGAAGAAGTTAATATCTTAGTTTATTAGTCTCGGCCAAACTTATTTTTCATATTTACTTATAACATATACACTTATAACATATGACGTTCTCACACCTTAGAGACTGAGCAGGACGAGGCCCAACAATTGGCTCCCAAACAAAGTTGTGAGTTTTATTGTTTTACATGGGTTCCCAACTTTGAGAGTTATATTGTTACTCATTGGCATCCACTATTTCTAATGGGTCGTTCAATGGTTACAACATAAGTACTAGACATGATTTTGAAAAATTTGACTCAATCTACTTCACCTCAACTTACAGAAATACGTCTATTTTTAGTATTATTAATCTCTAAATGATATCTAAAAGCTATAATATCAAAATAGCTGAAATACTTTTATACATTTTAATTGACTTCTGATAATATGTTCATCAATTTTGGCTTTTTTGTATTGGCCATCGGCATCACATCTGTTATAATACATAAATTGCTTGATGTAATTGGTCTCATAATTTTATAGCCAATAATTGCATTGAGATGATCTCGTTTTCTTATATTTTTAGGAGTTTGATCCGTGACTATATAAAAAAAAGTGTGTTTATACATACCAAAAATAGTTTTCTCAAGCTATTTTTTTGTAATATATTATTAATTGTGAACCAAAATACAAGTAAATTCAATTGTTTGAAAACATATAACTAAAGATAACGATATTTATATAAATAAGTAGGTAGGTAAACTTCCAAAAGCTTAAACCATTAATTAAATCAATAATAATCGCATACCAAGTTTTATACATTGCCAGTTTCATTGTTACTTAAAAGATCTGTGTGTACATTGTTAAGTCAAATATTATCCGCGTGTGTACGTAACCCATCTACATGACACGATATAGTCCTTGACAAATGCAATCTTAAAATATTTAATATTTAGATATAAGGTTGAATGCTCGAATAAATGAACTTTGAAAAATTAAAGGCAAATATCGAGCACAATTTTAATAATCAAATCTTCCCTAAGTACTTTCGCCTTCTACAGCCTCATCAGGGGCATTTAGTCAAATTTGGGCTATCCAGTAAGCAAAAAATGTAATAAACATGAAATTGAACATAAATTGTACATAACGCTACACTAAAACAAGGACAAACAGTTTAAAATTATTTAAAAATTATTCTACGCTCTACATTCTTGTCGGCAACAGGAGAGAGAATGGTTGAGAGAGTGGACCATTCTCTCTCCTGTTGCCGACAAGAATTTACAGCGTAGAATATTTTTTAAATAATTTTAAACTGTTTGTCCTTGTGTTAGTGTAGTGTTATGTACAATTTATGTCCAAGTTCATGTTTATTACATTCTGCGTTTGCTGGATAGCCCAAATTTGACGAAATGCCCCTGATGATGCTGTTGAAAGCGAAAGTACTTGGGCAAGATTTGATTATTAAAATTATGCTCGATATTTGCCTTTATTTATATTTATCGAAGCGAAGCTTCTATATTGGCATTGTATTACTTTATTTTTCTACAGTAAAATACTGAGGCGAGGGTCATGTAACTAGCGCCACAAGATGGCGTCGTCACGGGTAGCAACCTAGAATAGCGGTTCTTGACATCGATTCACTACTATTGATCAGTTCGTTTCTAGTCGTCATATACTTACTCTAAGCAGGTTTAAATTAAAAAAATAACATGAAAAATATTTAACAAAATATAGACATTAAATGAGAAGTAAAAATTTAAAGGCTACATCTGCGAAATTGGTGACTGGAAACCCAAAAATAAAAGTACGTACAAAATACCGTACAGACACATGGAACGTTAGAGGTTTGTTAGAACCAGGAAAACTACATAGCTTAGAACGAGTGCTTATAAGAGAAAAAGTAGACATATGTGGAGTTTCAGAA